TGTTGGACATTTCGTTATGAAACAAAAACATAATCACAAGCTGCAACATGTGAACCTGTTTTAATTTACTTTATCACTTTGTTCATCAGCATCAACCTGAAAACCTGGAAAAAGCAACTAATGAAAGAACAGAAGAAGAAAATTCATCAAAATATTCAATTTACAGTTAAACCAGAGAAATGTAAATTAACATGATAATTATGGTCAACATTTTTAATTAACAATTGTTTACTCTTCAATTAATTACACAGTTTAATTGACCATGAAATGTGAACCAGATTTGAACCCAAAAGGCCCTCTCAGGGCAACTTGAAGAACCCAAATGTTTCCCTTTTGAATAATCACAACAATTGGTTAAAGAGCAAAGTTACCAAAAATGTTTCAATTGACTTCGATTGACTCTCATTAGAACAATTTGAAACAATCTTTTCTTTTCACCATAAATCATGATTCATGACTATTATTCAATTCGTTTGTATCATCATGTAAATCAAGGTTGAAACAAAACCAACACACAATAACAATCAACTTCCATATTGAATCTTAAGGCGTTTGGTGCAACAAAGGATTGCAGTTTATGAATAAATGGAAATGTAAAATTGTCAGAAATGTTAATCAACATTGTAATTAACAATTAAACAATACCAATTAACCTTGAGTCTTCAAATTAAACAAAGGCAAACAATTAGAAGGGAAACATCTCTGGTTCATAGGAATTGGTGAATGTTTGTTCAGTAAATAATGTAAATTGATTTGTTTCTTTGATTCAGTTGATTATCGACTGGACAAGGTTGGCCATTTGGGTTGACTCTTGAAGCTCTTTTGTTCATTTAGTTTCATGTTTGATTCCAATTGTTTTTTCCCCATTTTTTCATCAATTATTTTCTGTTTTAAAAAGATTTTTCATTGTGAATGAAAAAACAAAACAGTAATCATAGCAATTGAAATCAATTAATAGATGAAACTGTAAAGACAATGTTTCCAATAAAGTGCCATTGAAGTTTCTTAACCTATTAAAACAGAATCAATGTCAACAATTAACTTACCTTGAGAAATTCAAGGTGAATAATTGATTGAGAAATGGACAAAACTGTCATTACCAATCATTAGACCAATCATCATCTCAATCATGGTCGAATGGAAGCTGAAAAAACGAAAAGACAATTGTCAAGTTCAATTGTAAACGAATCGAAATGTACAATTGAACTCTTAATCGCACCAGTAAACATTCAAAATTCAACATTCGAAGGTTTAAATTTAAACTGAAAAACTAAATTCAATTGAATATGAAAATGAGCCAAAATGATTCCAATTTTTGCATCAAACACTCATTGTGATGAATCCATTTTTTGAGTTAATTAACTAAACGTAAAATTGATTAATCAAGTTGATTTAATGGATTAAAGTGAAACTTTGAATAATAATGAACATAAATGAAGATGTATTAATTAATGAATTTGAAAAGATGAATATAAAAATGGGTAAAAGTGGGTTAAAAGGTAGTAAAGAATGGCTTGGAAAACAAAATGTTCATTTAAATCAATTGGTGATTAAATTTAATAAACAAACGTTTTCCAGTTTTAATCATGAATATTAACTGGATCAGTCTAGAATCGTGTCCATCTTGCAACACAAAATAGCCTCTTCCTACACTAACAATTGCAATTAGCTACTGAATTAAAATGGTTTACCTTTAAGCGCAACAATCAATTGATTAAAAGTAATTAGGTAAAACCAGTAAAAAAGAGAAGTTTTTTTTCTTCGATTTGGTGAAATGGAAATTCTTTATCTCATTGAACACATAAACCTTTGGTGCTTCAGTTTCAACTTGTTACCTGGACATGAGGCTGGTAAAGATGATTAATTTGAAGCTGAAAATAAGGTAATAAAGATGAGATTGGATGATGTTGGATGAAGGTGGATGACAAATAAGAAGTTTGTTCTTGGATTGATTTGGATGATTACTGGTGCTCATTATATTGAGCCTCAGGGAAGATGAATTTAGTTTAATAATAGATGAAAATCACACCCAACTGAGAAATCAGATTATCTTTGAATATCACAATTAAATTTAATGTGACCATAAGGATGACTTTATGATGAACATGTCAGGTTAGAGTTAAGCCATTCACACCAACACACACTCACATAATGTTTAGTTGGCTATTGCTGATATCAATCTGAATCGGTACAGAATTAGTTTGAGGGAAAAGAAGAGTCTGAGTTTCTTTTTTCATGCTTGCCATTACGATTAAATAAAGAACTGATGAATTGATAGTGAACATTAAATGCGCCAATTAACAGCAAACACTTTGTTAAACTTTTTATTTGCGACTTACTTTTGACTCTAGTTGGTTACTTTATGTGTAATTCAACGGGTAAACCACTTCAATGGAAACATAAATATCTGTCGATTTAATTGTGAGAATTTAATTTTTACCTTTTAAAAGTAAATATTGTTTTATCCAGTTTTAATGGTTTTACACATTGTACTGTTTTATTGATGGTAACACCGGTTGATTCGCAAACTCTGATTGCGATCTCAGATAAAATTTGACTTGGAATTGGGTTATTTTAAGTGAAGCCTAATTACGGGAAATTTATTAGCATTAGTTAATGTCTGATGAATGAACAGTCCGATTAAATCAGTCTTGATCTTAAGAAAGTTGCTGTTGCCTTCAATTGGGTTTTGTTTTATTTTTGGGTTAACATTTCTGGTAAGGTTATTGATACGGCAAAAGCTTAGAGTTTTCCAGAGTTTAGACTCTGTTGCTTTGTAGGGACATCAAAACTGAGTCCATTGAAGCGGTTATTCAATTTTTCCGATCGATATTTTTCGAGAAAATCGAATCCAAAGTTGAAGCTTCGATTGCCTTTTGTTCAATAATGGAACAAGATTTTTTCATGAAACTTATTCTAAAGATGCAACATTTGATGGGCAATCAAAAGATGAACTTGTTCTAAGAAATAAATTTTCTGGCCAAAATAAAACGGGTTAGTTCGACTGGCGGCTTAACGCGTCTTTATTCAGTGGCCGTAAGATCGAGAGAATTGAAACTGATTGTTTGTCGACAAAAGATGTTAGTATACATAAACGATTGAACACATTTTTCAATTTTGCGATAGTTCTCTGGATTTTGACCATTATCCTCCGAATTTTAAACCTCAATATTTCGACAATGGTTTGACCAACAATCGCAATTCTTTAACTAAAATTTACGATTTTGTATGTGTCTAT